GCCTACTTACCTACTATATAGTAGGAGAGAAGAGTATGTGAAGAAAGAAGTATGTTCGAAACCTCAGTATTCATAAAAGAGTAGGCGAGAAATCCCCGGATGTCCTACTGCTTCAGCCCAGATTCTGAGGTGCTCATCGATTCACACTTTTCTATCCCAGAGGCCACGCAAGAGGATACATCATCATCGAACGTGATGGAGAACAGCGACGAGGGTGTTTACAAATGTGAGTATTAGAAATCATAAACACGGCTCCTTGTGTTAAAATCATATTTGTTGAGCTACTGTAGAGCAAACTGTTGAATTGCTGAAGGTGTAAAGACGCTAAATAGTATAGTATATTTGTGATTTTTCTGTAAAGACGTTTTATTATGTATAGCGAACAGGGGAGCTCCAGTAAGCACACGTACGTCTCCAAAGTGGATTTACATAAACAATATACATCTTAAAGACGATTATTACGAAATGGTCCAGTGCCATGAGACGCTCCATCACTCCACCTGACCTTACTGTCTCGTCTGGGCCAGATGTTGCTGTGGTATCGTCATCATCAGTGAGCCCAGAGCCAGCGAGAACATCTAGAAAAAGACTTAAAGACACTGAGGATGTGATTTTGGTCAAGTTTGTTCTGCTGGTTTCTGTTCATACAACATCAGTCAATGAAACCCGAGTTTCAGAAGCTTCAAAAGCATCATCAAATAATGTCATGAAGCTTCTGAAAGTCAGGCTCCATTGACTGATATTGTATGAACAGAAACCAGCAGGACAAACTTGAACAAAATCACCTTTTGCGTTCAGAAAACAAAAAACAATGATTGAACAGCGTTGACACAAATAAATAATGACTGAATTTATATGTTTGGGTGAACTAATCCTTTAAACTAAGGCTGGTCCGAATACCATTTTTTGAGGTGTTGATTACTACCGAAGCTTCGGAGGGAGGGGGCTGAACATATTATTCTCTCTAATAAAGGCAGGAATCTCTGTGTGTCTGTCTGTCTGTTTGCATTTTTATTATGTCGAGAACCGTTCATCCAATCGACTTCACACATGGTGGGTATGTTGCTGCAGACCCAAGGGAGTGCAGTGTGCATTTTGGTGCAATATGGACATGCGACATGTTCAGAATTAATAAACTTCCAATAAACTACAGAACAGCGCGAGCCATAAGCGGCGCGCCTCACGCAGGTAGGGATTATATGCTTCGAGAACGGACACTGCACTATCAGAATCAGAATCAGAAAGAGCTTTACTGCCAAGTATGTTTTACAGGTTTAGCAGATTTAAGTTTATGCCTGTAAGTTGGTATAAGATGAACCAGGCAGTGGTCAGAGAGTCCTACAGCTGCTCTGGGGACCGAGCGATATGCATCCTTTATTGTGGAGTAACAATGGTCCAGTATATTACTGTCTCTGGTGGGACATGTGATGTGCTGTCTGTATTTTGGCAGTTCACGGGAGAGATTTGCTTTATTAAAGTCCCCGAGAATGATTAAAACAGAGTCCGGTTGTTGTTGTTCTGTCTCTGTGATCAGATCAGCGAGTGATACAAATTTTGTATCACTAGTGATACAAAACACACAGGTCTGTTAAAAGCAATACTTTTAATAAGGTAGCCTAACATTTTCTAACTTGATTTTTCAAACTTGATGTGCTGTTGTGGTAGGCCAGTTTCAAATCGCATATTTGGCACACTGCCTTTGTCTTGTCCTCACTCAATTTAAAGTGCTCCCACACAAAAAAAAAGAATATTCAAATCTCAAAATTGAAAATCGAATTCCAACCCACCGAACGGATATTCGAATAATCTAATATTCTGGTCCAGCCCTACTTTAATGTGGTTCTACAAAACGTACATTTACTTACGTTTTTACAGACACTAAAATGTACAATACTGACGTATTTACAGCTTCTAAAAGTATAAATATTTAAGTATTTTTCAGCTTTTAAACATACAATACTGACGTATTGACGACACCTAAAAATGAATCCTTATGAATATTGAAAACGTGGCATAAATTTTTTTATTATTGTTGTTTTTAGTTGTAATATCAATGGCCTTATGTTTTCAATTGCATTATTAAATTTACTCGTTTACTTAATATGAAATGATAACATTTCGTTTTGTTCTGTGATTTCTGCTGCCAGCTCGTTTCCAAGAATAGGCCTACATAATGTTAAACAAGACTAAACTTTAAACCCTTAAAATGAATAACATTTCTGCAATCGTTTAACCATTACTTATAATGTAATATTTACTTTGTTTGCCATGTTTTCTCTGACATGCTGCGACTGACAATAGAACCATAAAATACATCAAAAACTCAACATAATTACAAAAGGAATCAATTTTATGTGTGCGCTGTAATGCAAATCTTCAGAATCCATACGACTGTGAGGAATAGACCAAAACTCAAGCCTTTATTCAGCAATCTTCCTCTCCATCCTGAACAGCGAGTCCAGCGACTGTAAGCAGCAAACAAAACCCGTGCTGACACGCTTGCAGTGTTGCCAGATCGGGTGGACGATTTCCAGCCCAAAAGCTCACCAAAACCCGCCTAATCCAACAAAAAAACGCCCAAAACTTTAACTGTCAAAATAATGTGATAGAATTTTATTGCCATGTCAGTCAAGGCTGATAAGGACCATTTTTAACTCCTTAAAACAAAATAAAGATGACAGATTAATATAAAAAAACATACATCTCCCAGGTCAAATATATTAAAGAGAATTACCAAATATAAATGTCCAGGTAAACACCAGCCTATCTCAAAACGGCAATCAAGAAATTAACCGATACCCTCTGAAAAACAAATGCAACATTTTCTGTTAACATTCAGAATAAGCCAATTTAAATGGAAAAAGTGCCCAGTATAAGTGATCGGAAAAAGCAACATAATTAGCAGGTATTTCACACTCGTTCATGCACACAACATGACAGTCAAAACGGTGTCATTCATTGATACTGTACGATAATCCGATAACAAAAATATTAACAACAATAATGCGCTTACCTTCGTGTTGCACTTTAACTTCAGACAGAACTACAGTACGTCTTTAGTGAAGTACACTGTAGAACATAATACAGAACTTTGCACAGTCTATTCATCAAGTCCACCAGTTTCTGATGCAGGCTAGGATTGTATAGTACCATATTCAGTTTCGATTTTGATTAAATTATTTAACTGTGCTCTGATTTCAAAGTTACATTGATATCAAGAGCCTTCGCGTCATCTCCCTCCACAGGTGTAATCACGTTTTGAGTCACTCTCCCACTCTTTACCGTGTAACTTATATTTAGGCCACTCTGGCATTGTGATAGCTTGAATATACAGCTATACGGTCAAAATGTGATCCCTTATCGCGCTAAAAACCCGTCACTCATGAAACATCACATATGTCCGCTGATCCCTGATTGGCTAAAAGAGCGGACGCAACGTCAACATCAGCACCAGCCGACTCAGCAGTGTGTGTTTTGATTTTTAACCAATAGGCCTATACAGTTTAGATGTTTGAAAACCACCAAACCGACCGCAAACCAGCCCAAATTTTGTCCACACACCCAAACCATTTTTTTACCCGCACAATCAAATTCAAAACCGCCCAATTTGGCAACACTACGCGCTTGTTAAATTCAAATGTTGCTGCTTCAAGAAATGACAGGATTTACAGGAGGATAATCGAACGCTCATTGGCTCTCGCCTGCTTCGTCACAGATTGCGACACGCCGTGTTTCTGGTGAGGTGTATTTGAATGAGAAATGCGCGCCTTCACAGAGTGGATCGGGATAATAATCTGGATAATACTTTGTACACCGATAACATTACTTGCCTACAGGGGCACCCCCCTGTCGTTTAGCTTTTTATAGAAATAAAAATCGTTTAGTTCAGTTATATGTATATGTATTTAGTTAACGTATGCTACAATTCTAAACTGAAAGGGTCTGCTCTGTTCCATACAGCCAGGTTTGCCAGGTCTGAGTGACAAAATTAGCCCATGCCAGCCAAAAACAGCCCAAAGTAGTTCAATGACCTGATCCAAAATATTAAACTCAAAATGTGATTTCCATAACTAAAATACATATTTTACACGACAGTCACTGTTATGCATATTGATCATAAACACGGTTAAAAGGCTTTCTACCAGTGGCCCTCCTTCACAAAACTTAACATCTACCACAGTTTTAGGTAGAATGCAAAAGGTTTCAATACAAGTATTTCAGTCAGATGTAGTTTATACAGTATTTCAAACCTTTATCCCACGGGGGGAAATCAACCCATTGCAACAGTAGCCCAATTCCATGAAAAAAAAAATGCACAACTCTGTATCCAACACAAACTGCAGGAGTCAGATTTCACTGATCACGGGTTGAGATGAGAGATCATGGACAAGACCATGCTGTGAAATTTGCCGCTCAACAGATCCTGAGCTCTGACAAATATCTTATCGCGTAAGATGTGCTTCCTTTACACAGAGCACGCGTGATTCCGAAATCGAAAGTGAATGGCGAGCGCTCATTCAAAAGAGATTTAAATACTTCACATATTGATAGCGTCTCCCTGATGCACGAAAATTATATGCAATATTAGAAAATTTGAAGGAGCGGGCAGGACTGGACACAAAAATCGTATGGTCGCCCTATTTAGTCATCAACATCATGTTAAAGATGTTTGAATATTTGCATGTCAACCAAGGCATCAGGACCTGGTTGTATCAAACCCCTTAAACTAAGAAAAGGGTTTTCTTAACTGTTTTTCTTAAGCTGTCTGTTGCAATCGGTTGCAGATTATCACTTTATCAACACTTTTCAGATTTCTCTTTTAATTCCTCTGAAGATGATAAAGCATGTTGCTCTAAAAAAAATTTAATTAACAGAATCTTGTCCTTTTATGACATCGAACCTCTGACTGTCCAATCAAGATTTTAAGTTTTTTTTGCAAATGTCAGATAAAGAGGAGGGTCCTGACAATCAGAAAGATATTTAAAGACACATTCGTCGCCTGAACATTCACAAGTTTCTGAGCGCATACGGTGAGTTTGATTCTGGTCATTTTGAAAATGATGTTTGTTATTTCAGTAAATGACAGAATGCATGTTCATGTTCTAACGAAGTGATTTTTTTTCTTCTGTATTTCAGGTACAAATCTTGATCCTCTGAGCTGGACATCTGAAGCGATGATCACAAACATGATTGTGAGTTTCTGTATGTGAGTGTGATTTTATCAGACGTCGATCATCAGACTCAGATCTTGAGTTTGTGTCTCTCAGGTGTTGCTGTGTTTGTCTGCGCTGTTTCCCGTCTTGATGGGCACTGATGAGGTCAAATCAGATTGTTTTCTTGCCAGAGACTGCTCTGACATTTATTCGAGTGGGAAAAATGCCAGTGGTGTGTACTCCATCACCTCATTAGATGGACCAGTGCAGGTCTACTGTGAGATGGTCCCCAGCGGAATAAATGACAGAGGACACTGGACGGTACGCATTTCACTTTGAGATTATTATCTTCAGAACTTATTTTATTAGCAGGTGTATCTGAGCGTGATTCACATGCAGCTAACAAATGTAGTTTATAAAAACATTGTGGGAACATTGTTTTGAAGTGTTTCTAAAATGTTGAAATGTCCAGTTGTCTTGTCATGATTATGTTATTTAAAGGCTACAAAAACATTTCTTACTATGTTCTACCAACCTTTTCACCCAAAACATAATGTTATTTTAATATTTATATTTTATATTCTAAGAATGTAAAAAAAAATCCAGTTTCCTTGTCGTGATTGATACCGTTTGCATGGTATGGTACCATTGGTTGATAACATTTGCCTATATTATAGTAACATATATTATTATTAAATATTATACAAACTGTCACTCAGTGTTTTAATTTGTGCTCTATTTCTATCCGAGTATGAAATGTTTATTTTTGCAGCTTTGTTTGGTGACGCTAGTGAAATCACACAACATGATTTACATTTGTTGCTAAAGAAAGCCTGTTATATTTCCAAATAAAAAGTATTTTAATGTCGTAAAAAGTTAAATAGATGGATAATGTGAAATGATCATTGTGTGTGAAAGCGATTAATGATTTCTGAATGTTTCAGGTGATTCTCAGGCGAATGGACGGTGAGGTGAATTTCTTTAGGCCATGGGAGAGTTATAAAAAGGGTTTTGGTAATAAAGAAGGCGAATACTGGCTGGGTGAGTGTTTTTGTGACGTTTTGGGCTACAAAAGAGAGAAAAAAATAAACAATCAGGCACACTGAAAACTTGGACATTTAATCAGGACTGCAGTATAAATGCAGATTTATATTTGTTCTTTGATTTACTAAACCAGTTTCCTTTCATGTTTTCAACAGGTTTAGAGTTTATGCACCAGCTGACCAGCAGGTATCAGTATAAACTTAGAATAGATTTGGAGGACTTTGAGGGGAAGAAGGCTTATTCTCTGTACGAGTCTTTCTCTGTGGACTCTGAGTCTGATGAGTACAAACTGCATGTGACCGGCTTTGTAGATGGAGGAGCAGGTGAAACAAACTACAGATGTTTAATTTTCCAGTTTTCAATTGTGTGACCCTAATGATAAAGGAGGAATAGAATGTGTTAGACCATGCATAAAACAATGATTTTTTTAAAAGGTTATTTAAAAAAAAAAGTCATTTTAGACGTCCAAATGAAAGTGCCTATAATAAAAGTTTCTCCTTTCTGCAGCTCAGACTTTTGGTTATCATAATGGAATGCCGTTCTCCACCTTTGACAAAGATAATTCAGGTTTGGGCTACAAAAGAGAGAAAAAAATAAACAATCAGGCACACTGAAAACTTGGACATTTAATCAGGACTGCAGTATAAATGCAGATTTATATTTGTTCTTTGATTTACTAAACCAGTTTCCTTTCATGTTTTCAACAGGTTTAGAGTTTATGCACCAGCTGACCAGCAGGTATCAGTATAAACTTAGAATAGATTTGGAGGACTTTGAGGGGAAGAAGGCTTATTCTCTGTACGAGTCTTTCTCTGTGGACTCTGAGTCTGATGAGTACAAACTGCATGTGACCGGCTTTGTAGATGGAGGAGCAGGTGAAACAAACTACAGATGTTTAATTTTCCAGTTTTCAATTGTGTGACCCTAATGATAAAGGAGGAATAGAATGTGTTAGACCATGCATAAAACAATGATTTTTTTAAAAGGTTATTTAAAAAAAAAAAGTCATTTTAGACGTCCAAATGAAAGTGCCTATAATAAAAGTTTCTCCTTTCCGCAGCTCAGACTTTTGGTTATCATAATGGAATGCCGTTCTCCACCTTTGACAAAGATAATTCAGGACATAACTGTGCTAAAACATACGCTCAAGGAGGGTTTTGGTACAACAATTGTGATTATACAAACCCTACTGGTCTGTATTGGTGGGGGAAAGATGATGGCAGTTTGATGAGTGGGCCCTTCTGGTACTACTGGAAGAGCAGCTATAAATCTCTGAAGACTGTCACCATGAAGATCAGACGCGTGATGTAGAGCAGGGCTTACAAACGCTTCACTGCAGCTTGTGCACACATCCACAACTTTATGCATGCATGTGGATCTTTCTTAAAATATGCTGAAAAATCAAATCCATTGTCCTTAAATAAAAATGTGTTGAAATTGGGTTCATGACTTTTCGGCATGCTTTGTCTGCTTTGATTTTGAAGCAATAAAAGTTTATGCAAAGCAGTATGTTGTTTTTGTGTGTTTTAAGTATTAACCAACTAAGGAGGCAATGCTCATGTGGGCTTCATATATGATTTAAAATAGTTTATTCAGGGTTTCTGCAGATTTTATGAATGTCAATATTTGTAACGTTTTTAGGAGTAAATCAAAATTAAGGACCAATTGAAGGGAACACAATATGTCAATGTGTTCTCTACATATAAATGTCTAGAGAGCAGAAAATGAATTGCATTAGCAACAGTTTGAAAATACAAATTCAAACGGATCTCCATTATGTTTTAATTCATTTGACAAAAAAGCTAGAATATGTAAATAACTTCTACTGCCTTCTGATCACACTGCAAAAAATTACTGTTCTTCTTCAGTATTCTTGTTTTCCAGTGCAAATAAAGTTTATAGCAAAATGACATGTATAACAAATATCCGGGATTAGAAAAATCAACTTAATTCAAAAGGAAAACATGTTTTCATAGCTCACTGACAGCTTTTTGTTTTAGTTTCAAGTATAAACTCATTTAATTTTGTTCACTTTCTCAGAAAACAAGACTTCAACTATTGTCATTTTGCATTTCAAGTAAACGTATCTTGATTTAAGAATGTTTAGATATTTGTACTGAAAAACAAGACAAAAACATTCTGCAAGATAAATTATTATAAAAAATCTGATTTTTTTTTTTTTAAGTGCATGCAACATTTAATGCTATGCCTTTATGAATTTAAGACTTTCTTCTCTGATTAAATAGGTTTTTAAGGCCTTAATTTGTGGAAATATCTTTTAAAGACCTTTTAAGAACTACAAACCCTGTTTAATCAGCTAAACCTGTAATAAGGACTGTAAAAAGATGGACTAATGAAGCAGAGCGGGATTTACAAGCCTGCTTCGACTGCACTGATTGGAGTGTTTTTGAAGTTGCTGCCACCAATCTGGACAAGCTCATATATTCTGTAACATCATATATCAGTTTATGTGAGGATATGTGCATCTCTACCAGGACTCATTTAACTTACAACAGTGACAAACCGTGGTTCACTGCAAAACTCAGATAGCTTTATCAGGCCAAAGAAGATGCCTACAGGAATGGGGACAGAGTCTTGTATAAACAGGCCAAAAACACTGGACCCTTGTTGGACCCCATGCAGTTTGTGTACCGAACAAGCAGGTCTGTGAATTATGCAGTCAACATGAGACTGCATTATATCCTACAACATCTGGACAGACCAGGGACGTATGTGAGGATCCTGTTTGTGGACTTCAACACTATCATCCCAAACCTCCCCCTGTCCAAATTAACTCTGCTCTCTGTGCCCACCTCCATCTGTCATTGGACCACCAGCTTCCTGACAGACAGACAGCAGCTAGTAAAGCTGGGAAAATTCTCATCTTGCACCCGTATGATCAGCACTGGCGCCCCCCTGCTTACAGAAAGGAGGTTAAAGAGATGGCTGTCTGGTGGAGTTATAACAACCTGGGGCTGAACACGCTCAAAACTGTAGAGATGATAGTGGACTTCAGGAAAAAAAAAACAGTAATCTCCCCACTCACCATCATGAACAGCACTGTAACAACAGTGGAGTCCTTCAGATTCCTGGGCACCACCATCTCTCATGACCTGAAATGGGAGTTCCACATAGACTCCATTGTCAAGAAGGCCCAGCAGAGGATGTACAGTACTTCCTTTGCCAGCTGAGGAAGTTCAACCTGCCACAGGAGATGCTCACACAGTTCTACTCAGCCATCATTGAATCCGTTCTCTGCACTTCTATAACTGTCTGGTTCAGCTCAGCTACTAAATCAGACCTTAGAAGATTTCAGCGGATAATCCGGACTGCTGAGCGAATCACTGGCACAACCCTCCCCACTTTACAAGAACTGCACTTATCCAGACAGAGTAAAAGGGCTGATAAAATAATTCTGGATCCCTCACACCCAGCCCACTTCCTCTTTGAACTGTTGCCATCTGGTCGGCGCTCCAGAACGGCCAGACTGAAGAACAGTTTCTTCCCTCAGGCAATCCATCTCAAGAACAGTTAACTTGGCAATAAATGTGTAATACACAACACTATTTTTAAGTTTATTTAACACATAAATATTTACACTTCCTTGCATTTGTACATAACATATACCATCTATTGTCTACTTTCTATATTGTTTTTTTTTCTTCAAATTTTGTGTTTATTGTTATTTCCTATTTACTTATCCTATTTTTTTTTCTTTTATTCATCTGTGTCTTGTCACTCTCATTCTGTTTGTGCTGTGGAACCGTCTGTCACCAAAACTAATTCAAAGATGTACAACTGTGTACAAAAATTTTGAATGTTTAAAATTCACAAGTTTATCATGGACTGTGAATCGCCTTGGATTTGTGTGTGTATTTTTGAGACTTTCCTGGCTGCTAATTCTCCCATGTGGGTCACTCGTACTCTTTAGCCAATCAGATTTGAGCCTGTCAATTGCATGTTTACCGAAGTTTAAGAAGTTAAAGCAGTCGTTTAGACACACCCAATATTGACAATATTGATCAATTATGTTTATTTAAAGAATCCTTATTCGCATGGATACCATACAGCATTTAGAGATTTGATTAACTCAATGCAAATCATAAAATAAGGTTTGGACTGATGGGACATGACGTAAATAAATAGATTATAAAAATAGTTTTTGGACATTTTTCCCCAAGCAGTCTCTTGTGTTTTTGTTTATTGAGCTGTCACAGCAGAGCTTGCCTTGAGTGTCAAGTCCTGCGATGGCACGCATTCAACTGATGATGTAATAACATGCACACATTGGAAACCATGTACATGTCATCTAAGTTGGTTTATGGTGCAGATACTATTTATTTCAGAATTGTGAGGCTGATTATGTACATATTGCCGAGACAAACCGTGACCCTACTATTCCTACTTCATCCCCTACCAGAAGTTATTCAATTCAATTTAAGTTTATTCGCATAGCGCTTTTCACGATACAAATCGCTGCAAAGCAGCTTTACAGAAAATTAAGTTTCTACAATATATTTAGTAGTAGCTTATCAGTGGTGACTGTCAGTTAATGTACATATGGCAGAAATGTACGAAAAAAATCAATTGAAGTTGTAATCAAACAGATGATGATGTTACGACCAGCTCGTTTTAAAGCCGCAACAAACAACAGATATCAATGCAAATTGTTTTATTGAATTTAACTAATACAACAGCAGTCAGTAATAATAATAATAATAATAATAAACATAAGTCTAGGGATAAATAAATAAATGACAACAAAACTTTAACTACATAATATAAGAAAAAGTGGACCAATTAGGAACTGCCACACTCCGTCCAATAAGATCCAGAGAAGACTCAGGGTCGTCACACCTCCCACTCCAAAAGGAGGTTATCTAAAGAACCGACAAAGCAAAACAAGGAAAACAAACACAAGCAAACAACCATTTAAATATATATAATAACATTGTAGTTTACAATAATATTAATACTCCTCTCCGTAAATCCCACTCCCATGCTCTAGGACATCAGACAGACAGACACAGAGACAGAGACAGAGAGAGAGAGAGAGAGAGAGAGAGAGAGAGAGAGAAACAAAAGCAACAAAACAAAACTGAAGAGAGAGGAGATAGAGAAGATATACCCAACACTACGGAGATATCCTACAGTTGTGAGAGAGCATCAGCAATTAGGTTGTCTTTGCCATGATGCGTTTAATCTGTAGGTGGAAGGGCTGTAAAATAAGGCTCCACCTCATTATTCTTGCCACACATTAGATCCAAGAAAGTCAGTGGATTATGGTCGGTGTAAACAACGATAGGACCATAGACTGAACTTAAATAGACCTCAAAATGTTGAATGGCTAAGACCAGGGCTAAAGCCTCTTTTTCCACCGTAGAATATGCTTGCTGATGACTTTTGAATTTTTTTGAAAAATAACTGACCGGATGTTCGATTCCCTTAGCGTCTTCTTGCAAAAGAACAACGCCAGTGCCGTAAGCACTAGTATCAACTGCAAGTAAGAAAAGTATTTTAAAATTAGGTGCCGTCAACACAGGAGCATTGGCCAAAAGAGACTTCGCGTTATCAAAGGTACATTGACACTGTTGTAACCATTCAAAAGGTCTCTTCGGGCTCAATAAATCTGTTGAAGGGGAAACTATATTCGCAATGTTCTGGCAAAAACCTCTATAGTAGCCCACCATCCCGAGAAAACGTCATGACTCACGTCGAGTAGTGGGAGTGGGAAAACTACAGACAGCTTCAACTTTGGCGTTGATGGGTTTTACGCACCCTCCGCCAACCACCTTACCCAAGTATGTCACTGTAGCCTTGCCAAATTCACACTTGGCAAGATTTAAAGTTAAGTTCGCTTTAGCCAAACGCTCAAAAAGTTCTCCAATTTGGGCGAGGTGTTCAGACCAAGAAGAACTGTACAGAACAACATCGTCCAGATAAGCTTCACATCCTGCCAACCCAGACAACACCCGATTTACTAGATGAAATGTAGCGGGAGCATTTCAAACTCCGAAAGGCATAACAGGTGTAATAAAAGCAGATAGTTATTTAGCACGGGAGGTTGAAGGCACTTGCCAATAACCTTTCAGGAGGTCGAATTTACTGACAAACCATGCAGAACCCACACAATCTACACAGTCGTCAATTCTGGGTAGAGGAAAACAATCAGGTTTTGTCAGAGTTAAGTTTCCTGTAATCAGTACAAAATCGATAAGAATTATCAGGTTTACTCACTAAAATGCAGGGAGAGCTCCAAGAACTGAAACTAGGTTCTGCTAAATTATAAGTAAATAATCCACCTCTTTCTGAAGCAACTTCCTTTATACAGGGTTTACTCGATATGGATGTTGTTTTACAGGTTGAGTGATACCAACATCAATGTCATGCT